AAATTGTGTGGACGCCAACTTATTTTTTATTAATTGAAATTCCAATCGAATAACTATGTATACAATAATACTATGTAACAAATAATAACTATTAATAACAAATAATATCTTTGAATAACAAATACTAACCAAGACCCATTTAACCAATGGGTAAAAATAAATCAGAAAAGTTTTATTGTAACATTAAAAATTATAACAAAAAATGAATTACCACAAAGGGGAAAAACATATTTAAAATCAGCACTAAAGCAGGCAAAATTAAAAAAGTGAAAAAAAAATTAAAATTAGTACGGCGGAGAAACGCTTATTGCAAAATAGCATAAAATGTTGTAGATCAATAGTTTAGGTGACTATAAAATTATTATTTTTTTAATAGTTACGTGATCAATCAATTAATTGAAGTTGCCAAAAAAATCTGGAGAATACGAGTCATCTAGACAACGTTTTAAGATTTGACTCTCAGAGAAGTCTCCTCTTAAATGATATAGTTGGCAAAAATTGCCACCTTATTATTTTGTAGATAAAATGAAGAAATTTAACCAAAAATCTGTTTTCTTTCTTCCATCAAAATAGAGGTTAGGCCTAAGAACATGTTAAGAATTAGCGTGGTAAACCTTAAAGTCTACTTAAAAAAATAAGACACTCAATCTGTAATTAGGCATAGCATAACAGAATGAAGAAAGCAATCATAGTTAACACAATTGAAACTTTAAAACGTTGAATTCGCAGAAAATCATCATTCCGAAGATAATGCTTAGATATAAACTGCTTACTCGACAGACCGCTTCCAGGGACAACATCTGAAATAATCCGTCTTACACAGTAATCACAGAAAAATATCAGTGACTTTCTGAATACAATTTCACTATATAGATATTACTGGCATTTACAGAACTCGTCTGTTTGAGCACAGATTTTCCAAAACATTGGGAGAGTTTCTGAATACGGTTTCAGATAATTTTCATTTTCGGCACTTTTTAATGCTTTTTTAAATTTTTAATTTTTCTTTAATGTAAAAAAATATTTAACGATTAAATTTAATTTAGCTTTTCAAATTGGAAACAGAAGTTGCATTTAAAAGCATTTATCGATTCCAACACATAACAATTTCGTTTAAAACATTTAGTTTTTTGAATATAAAAATTATTATTTAAAATTTTCATCAATAATTTCATAGAGTCATTAAATATTCAATAAATAGTCAAGGAAATATTATATATATATATATATATATATATTAAAAATATAAGCAGTGATTTTTTATAATAATAAATTCAATTTAAATTTTGAAATTTTTCTTAACGCGTTAAGAATTTCGACTCTATTTGTGAATCCAAATAATTTCTTTAGATATTAAATAATATTTGAAAACCAAGCTGCTCTTTTGATATAACAAATTTGGTAAATTGTAACTTGAAATACTTTTTTCATAATTAGTTAAAAATTTGATTTTCCACAATGTCATAAATTTAATTTTGCAATGTTTGCGAAAATAATATTTTCGATCTAAGGAAGCAAGATCAACCTAAAAAATTATAATGATGAAAAACAAATAACTACTTTTTCTAAAATTTTTCCTATCCAGCAAAATCGAAAAATTTAGATTAATAATAGAATAAGAGTAATAATAGAATAAAAATAATAATAGAAAAAAATAATAATAGGATAAAAATAATACATAGTAGAATAAAAATAACAATGAATTGAAAATAATAATAGAATAAAAATAATAATAATAAAATAAATAGATTACGAAATCCTTACAAATATTAGGAAAAAGTGCTGTACCTTCGATAAGTGGAAATATTTGCCCCACACTTCGGAAAAATTTTGCATTCAGTATACGTATTTGATACTTGTAAAAAAGGGCACTATCTTTCATTTCATGATCCTTTGAAGTTCTACAAGCTCGATTGCTATAGAATTTTTTTTAATTTTATTTGCTGAATAAATTTTTTAATTAATTTAATAGGAAAATAAAATTCTGACGTTAATAAACCTTTTTTTATGGTACAAAATAAAATGTTCAATGTGTAGAAAATTCAGAGCATCCTGTCAAAATTTTGAAAAAAATTACATTAAAAGAAAAACACTGGAAGCTTTTTAAACTTTCATAATATTCAAATCAAACTATTTCATAAGTTAACAAAAACAGTTCTACACGAAATTATGATAAAACACATTTCAAATCTTTTTGCGCATGTGCAGTATGAAAAGGTTACTTTAAATGCTCATATCTTGCACAATTTTTTAACACATTATTTTGAAATTCAAAAGGATAGATTTTCATTAATTAAAAATTACATAAAAATTTTGTTTAATTTTATTGAATATTTTTTATAGTAATAGTATGAAAACGTAAGTATTAAAATATTCATATTTTCATGAATATTTTCCCTGGTTTAAGAAAATTTAAACCATTGTTGCTATAACATCCAAAGTATTCGAAACAAGTTACAAACTTTTTGCCATATTTTCTGGCATAGAATGTTCAAGAACATTATTTTACGTTCGTAATTTGTTGCTTGTCTCTCAAAGCTCTGAAAGCCTTAAAATATATTGATGAGTATGAAAACCCGCATGACATAACATCTTAAAAGTTATAAAATAACTTTCTTAGTGTTTCTGGAGAAATTCGAAAAAAAAATATCAAAAACTGAAAGTGTCTCTTCAATCATTGTAGGGTAGCGTACATAAGTATCAAAAAACCATTATTTTTAAAATTAAATCCATATTTTACAAGAAAAATGTATTCTTTTTCTTAGGATTAAGAAAATCAATAAAGTGCAGGTTTTTTGTGCCCTAAACCAGTTAATTAAAATGTTAATTAAATTTTTAAATTTTCTCTTACATTTAACATTTTTACATTTCCAATTTAATTTTTGCACTTTTAGTTCCTGAGCGTTTTGAGAAATCTTTCATATTTGTCGAAATTAGTTATCGTGGTGAATTTGTTATTAAAAAGTTCAATGCAATATATAATAGCATTTTAAACAAAACAACTATGCTGATTAGCTCAAATTAGCTCTAATTAGCGCATTAACAAAGTTATTATTGTTGTGTTAGCAATTAAAATATTCTCTTGAGAGCGAATGAATTTTACTTGTAAGGATTTTTTTTCTTTCGCTAAAACGAAACTAATTTAAACTATTCTAAATTTCTTGAATTACAAAGATCTAACGGAGCAAATAATATTTTAATGCAGAAAATAAACTTTTAAAATGTAACTTAGCTTAATGACGTTGTTGTTGAACAAAAAACAGCATAACCAAGTAAATGAGTATTACGTCAAAATCAGTGTTTTAACTTATACGGCATGTTTAATTGGTAATTAAAATGGATATTTGATTGCCAATCAGTTTTATTTATACGAAACATTTACGCCTTAGACGAAACATTTTTGCGGTTAAATTTTTTTCTTTTCGAAATATATTCAGATCCATGATTTGAGACTTGACTAATCTAGGTTTTGAATTTAAATACACAAACATATCCTTTTTTTTGTCATATGCCTGTTTAGGCACGGGGGGGGGACGATTTTTCCTGTTTTTCAGTGGCGCCATCTATGGCCAGGAATTCGACTTCTGCCACGCCATTCACACAACCACAATCCGTTTATAGGGCGGGTCACATTCACACACAAAGGAGAAAGGACATGGAACACACAGAGAGAGAAAGAAACATCCATGCCTTGCCCGGGATTCGAGCCCAGGACCTTTCTGATGCAAGGACAGTTCCCTGCCCCCTTCACAGGCCGGACGGCAAACATATCCTTCTTGTACATTTAAAGCATCTAGCTGCTGTTATTGCCCAACCTCTCCTCATACCATAGCATATCATGAGACTGTTTTTATAAATTTTATGACTTTTTCATTTAAAGTATAATGATATACAGTTAGAGAATTAATAATTTGCGTTCAAACAAAATGTCAAAAAATAATAATTAATATCAATATTTGTCAACAAAAGGCTTTATTATCTGAGTTCAATAAGTTTAAGTGTCTTGAAATTGAAATGCTGAGAAAAATAAGAATAAGTATATTATGTTTGAAATTACCCGTGACAGTTAAAAGTAGCAAATCTTTAATTTTCATAGCTTTTGTTATACCGAACAATGTTAGCTGCTGTATTTGCTTCTATCACTCAATTTTACTTCATTTAAACTATGAGCTTAGAGAGATTTAATTAAGTACTTAGTATTTCATACGATTTTATTTTTTTTTAAACAATTTGTAACGATGCTGCGTTTATGACAGCACAACGTTGACACAATGAAAAAAAAAACGTTTTTCAATATTGCACAACCCAATTTAGAGAGATGGAAGATATTTCAAAATCATTCTAAAAAATAGTAGTATTCTAGAACAATAAACGTATTGCCAATCAGGCAAACCGTTCAAAAGATATTAAGAAAATTTCAATCTGTCACAATAGATTTCAGCAATGAAACTTCGTATTTTCGATATTTCATCAGAACTGAAAGACACTGGAAAATGACGATTGTTTACAAACCACTCTGCAAAAGTAGGCAAATGACTGCATAATATACGATCCAAATCGGCGGTCCCGTTCTCGAGTTACTACATGCATACAGACATATTTTCGCTTTTATATTTATAGAGACGAAGTGAAGATAAGCATTTTAAGAAAGTTCGAAATTCTTTAAGTGAGGTAAAGTAGAAAAATCCTACTTATTCATTTTTTATTTGAAATATATATCCGCAAAATATCTCATAAACCTAGTACAATTTACAAACTACACTAATGTTTAATATGTTTAATATGTTTATAATGTTTAATATGTTTATAATGTTTAATATGTTTATAATGTTTAATATGTTATGTTATGTATTACTAATGTTTAATATGTTTTTAAAATATGTGTTACTATACTTATTTTATTAAAAGCTTAAAAATCAGAATTTATTATTATTTTTCTTTATTTGTGCATACGATTTTAAAAGTGCTTCTTTTAAATTGTAATCGAATATTTTTTGTTATTTAATTAAGATGGTTTTCGGTTACAAACCCTTCTACAAAAATGGTTTGTAAATTTCGCAAGATCTTAAAAGCTAATTAGCAATTTATTTCATAGTATCGAATCATGTCTTAGCTAATGAAATAACTTTTGCTCTTTTCATAAAATATTTTGCAACAATTTATCTTTCAGTGTTTTAAAAAAACTTGATAAGCATGATATTACATTAGTCTGTATAAGCAGATCAATTACATTTACGGCAATGAAAGTCACATAAAATATTATGAATGTCCTTTTACACATTTGCTTTGTAAATATAAAACCAGTTTGTGTAATTCCCTTCTTTCTTAGGATTTTTAGTTAATTTCTTTTTAGGAAATCAAAAAAGTTGGTTTTCAAATTAGGTAAACATCTGCATTTTTCTTAAATTATTATTTTATCACAGTAAGCTATAAGTTTTTTTTATTACGCTTACAAAATTCAAACTACTCTATGATTTAATGCAGTCATAAAAAAACATTTTATATGGTGTATGCATGATGTTGTAAATGATGTATAAAATGTTTTATTTCTACACTCAGTCAAGCATGTGGTAGTTTTTTGAAAACTCTTTTTGTGGATGTTAATACGTGTAGTTTATATTCTACACTCAAGATTCAAAACCCTTGCAACATCAACAAAGAAATATAATATCGATATCTGTAATCATAATATAGTGCAAATTTACTGCAACCTTTATAAGATGTAAAATAGAGCCATGATTCAGTTCAAATTAAATCATAAAATCAAGTAGCTAGGTTTAAAAATGCGACGTTGCATGAAACACTTATAAAGTTATGCTGTCAAATTTGCATGAAATTGTGATTCAATACTCTGCCTTTTTTCTTCCTACATATTTGCGATTAAATCCAGTACTCCAGTCATATTTCTTTGGTGAAGATTTTATTGCTGCAATAAAATAATTAAGTACGTTTCTTCACGCAGAGCACAAAATGGTTCAATTCTTTCGAATCCTTATTCAGATATTAAATTCTAGTGATGTTTCAATTGAAAAAAAGTATGCATAAAGCTTACAATATTAGCGTTTTGGGCGCAAACTTTTAAGTAGAAATTTTTATATGGATTTTGTAGAATATTGGGTTTTTTTTTAGTTTTTGTTAAGGAATTTTTTTTAATTTAATAATAAATAATACATTAACAATACATTTGTCAGACATTATATATAAAAAAAAAATGTTTGTCAGGAAAATTTAAAAATATATTTTCACAAAAATTGTTTTAAGTTACTATTACTATTAGTTTATGATGCTATTTGCTTAAATTTCAAAGCTTAAAAAATCGCAACATTCTTTTTAAAAATTTAAATATCCAGAAATTTTGGACAACTTTTAAAATTTAATCTTTATTTTGGTTATCTAGATAGGTTAATTTACATCTATCGCTAGATGTAAAAGATATAGTTCTCTTAAAGCTCTTTCCTTTATTAAAAACCAGTACTTCAACTAAATAAAAACCGATATTTTCAGAAAACGATTTTATCAGTCTATGAATTTTTCAAACCCCTTCAACACTACCAATTTTAAAATGTTTGCTTGAATAACATAGAATATCATAAAATATTCTCAAAAAATTATATTACTAAAACGGTTTGTACTTTTATTAAAACCTTACAGGTTTTAAAACATATATTTTGGAAAATATAAATGGAGCATTTTCTGATATTTTAATATTAAGCAATAGCATTAGACTATGTTTAATATAATTAAGTCACACGTGAATTGTAAGTAAACAGTGTATATTTTGAAAAATATTTTTAATTGTGTTATAATTTCTAAGCTAGTGTTATTAGAAAATATTTGTCAATGCTAGTGTTATTAAAAAAAGTTAATCACCCTTTATTTTACTTAGTTTTTTGCGTTAAGAAGAAAGAAAAAAATGACGCATTCATGTTGTATATTTCTACTTCTGGGATTATCCATTTTTTTACCAAACGTCGAATGTTATACTTACATTGAACCTCTTAATACGGATAATGGTAAGTATGTATATTCGTGTTGTATATAACTTAAGTTATGCTGAAATCATTTGGGTAAGAGTGTTGTTCTTTTGCAACTTTTTTTTACATACTCAAGCATTAGAGTGTATTGTACCGAACACAATTAGAGATGATTAAAACAGTCCTTAAGACTCCAAAAATATATTATCAGAATCTTCCATAAAAAAAACAGCTTTTGCTAGCTCTTAATTGCAGCTTAAATAGTAGTGCAGTATACGGGGCTTACAACCTCAGACGGTTCAATTAACTCAGGAGAGATTAACAAATCAGAACACTTCTGCAGTCACGAACAGACTAATACTCTACTTCCACCCTCTCTGCAAGGCACACTCCCATTTTTATAGGCTTAGCGACGAAAACCCCGGAACTTTCGACATGATTTTAGATAATTCTCGCTTACCGCAAATATTGGTCTTATCACTTCTAAACTCAAATTTTCCAGAACTATACTTTATTTACCAAAATGGTCGTCAAGTATTGCCAAGCCACTAAAAGTATCACCCAGTCGGCAAAAAACGTCGTCAATCAGAGTCTTCCATAAAATATGCATTGGGCATCAGTTTCTCCAAATTACGTTAAAATTACGTGATTTTCTATCAAATTTTCTAATTAAACTGTTTATTTAGGGTCAGCTTTATAGCAAAAGAACATTTACAAAATTAAACACACATATATACAAATTCATAATAATATATTTCTCTGTGGTAACGAATAGTGCAAGAAAAAATAGCTGCTCTGAAAAAGTAACTACTTTAAGTACACTTAAGGTGGATTCATGGTGAAGATTGACATCAACGAGCTTCAATATTAGGCCTTCTGCGCAAGCGCATTATGTAACCTTTCAAAAATCTAATAGAGAGCGTTTGCAAAGAGTACGCAATGAGCTGTGACGTTGATGTTGGTGCTCACTGTGAACTAACCCTTAAAGAAATTGAATAATATCTCGTATTTCGTATCATATCAGTACACTCTTTAATACTCAATCGAAAATGTATTTACCATCTATATATTTTAGAAAAAGTATAATTCTTGAATTCAAAAAAAAAAAAAAAAGCGCCAAGAATGATTTGTTAATTTTTATTTTAATTTCCCTAAATTTAAATTTTTTAAAATTTTTTTTAAAAAAAATCCAAGTCGATCAAAATGTTTATAACAGCTAATACAAGCATAAGAGTGACAATTGGTACTTTAAGGAAAAAAAAGAAGGAATTCAACAGAATTAAGTCGGTCGCTATGAGATTACATGCAAATAGTGGAGCGCATTCCATTTTGTCTGTATTAATTTGCAAGCAAGTTTATGAATAAACTTACCAGTAGCATTTATCTATTTATTGTAAAACGAAATTAAATTTCGAAAAATTTTTTTAATTTAAAAAATTTCTAAAAAGATTTTTTGAAGAAACTTCTTAAAAATAAATTTAAGAAAGACTATTGGCTTTACACATTTTCTTCAACAATACGTGTAATTTTTCTCTCAAGAAAGTAACAAAAGTACAAGTGTAACACTACTAAATTTCAAAAGTAAAAGTTGAAGTAGATTTAAGTACTTTTTATTGTTACTTTCATTTCCTGTAATGACTGTAAAAGTGTTGCCAGCAGAAATGGTTTCAAACATTCAGCGGAGCTTAACCCTCTAGAAATTAAGTTTTAATATCACAGGACCTTTCGGTTTATATTAATATCTTTAATATTAACCTCTAGATCTTTAATATAAACCACTAGATCTTTAATATAAACGATATATAAGATAAATCTCACGATATATCTTACATATCGTTTAAAACAGTATCATACTTCTCAGAATTTTTTAATATTCATTCTTCATGTGTTCAAAAATTCATTGGCAATTATATGAACCAGATAGTTTTACAATGCTGTGTAATATTATTATGATGATATTTTCTTCATACTTTCTGAAGGTTACTGTGAAAAAGAAGATTTTGGTAAAATACCTGTTGGAGAAACTAGATATAATGATGAAAAATGTGAACGTGGCACCTGTAGCTCTGGATCATTGGATGGAGCAGGGTAAGTATACAGAATACTACTTAATAATCGCTATCAATATAAATTTTTATAATCTTAGTAAAATAATTAAGTAAAACTATACTTTTTAGGAATCCCAAGTTAGTAATTAAGTGAATAAAATAATCTTATTGGACTCTCACTCAAATTTATGGAGATAGTACAGGAAAAATTTCGTGAATGCCTTTTTTTTCCTAGTTTTTCTCCCCTTTCTTTTGAAAACAGAGCGATGATAAAATTAACTATTAAATTAACTATTAACTATTAACTATTGGGTTGAGTAAAAAGTCATTTCGTTTTTTTTCTTCATATTTTTGTTCGATTCAGTACTGTTCAAATTCGATACTTTCATTCAGATGTGCACCATAAAGCTGCTTAACACGAAAAGTCTAGCATTTCACATTTCTTACGATAAGTGAAACAACCAGATAAACTAATTCAACCATTTTTTAACGGATTTGAAACCATGCGAGTTACAGTTAAAAAACCATATAATTTTGTATTCGAGCTTTTTTAAACCTACTAGTTGTAAGCGGTTTGAAAGCTGTAAAGATAAAATATGTTCTTCACCGTAAACTTTGCGGTTAATTAGACGTGCAGACTGCTGTTGTTTGTTTTACCGTAATTTTAGAATGAAAATTCTAACAGCAATGTGGTACATATATTAGCATTATTAATAAGCAATTAAACTTGTTGGTGCCTTTAGTCAAATAAACACCATCGTTTCGTGAAAAAAATCCATTTACGAGTAGTTTAACTAATAATTTTTATTCGAAATGTTAACAGTAAATTAAATGTAACAACAGCGGAACATCATATTTCAAAATGATGCTATTTTGATAAAGTCATCTGAGCAGTTATGTTCGCTCTAATCATATACTAATTATAATGTTTTAACAAATTATCACTTTTTCAAAACTTCTCTTCCTCTCAGAGATGCATAAACAAGATCCCAAATGTACAAAATTAGTTAGGTCTAAAATGAAAAAAAGCTTCCTTTAAATCTGCCGTGTACAAAGTTTCAATTGCTACTTTTTATTTTTATGTTTCGCCGACCAGATAGCCGTATGGTTAGCGTGCCTGACTGCGGTGCCGATGGTTGCGGGTTCGAATCCCGCTCAGGGCATGGATACTTCTTTCTCTCTGTGTTCTATGTCCTTTCTCCTTTGTGTGACTTGTGACTATGTGAATGTGACCTGTCCTATAAACGGGTTTGTGGTTGTGTGACGTGGGCGACGCTGCTCCACCGCCTTGGCTTCGCAACAGGTGCCCACTTTGTAACGAGAAGAAAGTAGCAGTTCTGGCACTCCTGGCCAATAAGACAATACATCCCAAGTGCCCGCCATTTAAAAAAAAAAATTTTTAAAAAATACTTTTTATTTCATATTTTTATTTTATTGTTTGTATTTTTTTTATTTAATTTTCTATTTTTCCCATATCCTGTAGAATATTTGTTTGGTTATTGTAGGTGTGGAGTGATTTTTGCATCACCAGGCTGTGAAGTTCAACAAGGAAGTGGACATTATCCCGACTGCTGTCCTTTCCTTGTGTGTACAAAATAATACTCAGACAAGTTCTCAATCAGATTCATCTTGAAATAATTTTAAATTTTTTTCTCAGCCATTAAAGAATTAAATAAAAATTTCTTGAATTACTTATTATTTTCTAAACATTAACGTTCATTATGTTAGGTAGTCTAAATATATCAGCATGCAAACGTGAACATAGGAAGAAAGGGCAATGAAATGACACGTTTTTATTTCTGAATGTACACTCTATAATTGTAAGTTAAAAAGCAATGAATTTAATGGGTAATTCGTAAGAGAAAACGTTGAGATAACAACAGCGTATAGTTGCAACAAGATATGATAGATTATTTTAACATCTAGTTACACAAATAACTAAGTTAAAGCTACAAGATAATGTTACATTGAGTTAGAAGAAAACAGATTCTTTACAAGTTTGTTCATTCATTAATAATTTTTTGAAAAAATTCTGGTGACACTTTTAATTAAAAAGCAAATGAAAAATAACTCAGAAACCTTCAATTATCGTTGTTTAGTAAATTATTCATACAGAAAAGAATTATATTTTGAAAGCTTTCCTCTTTTATTATTCTTCGACTAAATCCAGCCGCAAAAATTGCCTGTTTCTAACCATCTCTTTTTTTAAAATTTTATGAGTAATAAAATACATTACATTTGAACAAAAAATAACTTCTTGTTCTTTAAGTGTAAAAAGTAGTTAGTTTTTTAATTTGTTCAGTTAAAAAAACCTTTTTTAAATACAAATATATGCCTTCCTAAATTAATAAATAGACATTTTTTTTTTAAATCTCAACTTTTTTTTGTTTAAATAGTTGTCTATGTAAAATATTAAAGAGAGAAACCCCCAAATATTTTCGACAAAAAATTTACTATTTAAAACAATGTGATGAAAATATAAATTTCAAAAAGTAACTATTAAATTGTAGCCCCCCAAAAAAAGAGAATAATGATTTAAATTAAGTATAGGAAGATAAATCCATTTAATTAAAATTATTTTGCCATCGTATCTTGGATAAAATATATTATCTCTCAAACGATGTTATGTTTTATGCACGTATTGATTTGCATTGAAAAGATTGAGGAATTAGAGCTGTTTCTTCAAGTATTCTATAACCAAATAGATCCGCTTTTAATATTGAAGACCTTTAAGTTTTATTTACTTATACGATCTTTTCGTACGCGAGAGACAAAACATTGTTCGAACTTAACGAGTATATAGCACAGAAATAGTTGTGTTAATGCATTTATCTGTATTATAATGATCTTAAACATATTTCATACGTATATATTACGAGTGTTTATTAACTATTCATTTATGAAATATTTCATACGTATATTTATAGAGCTTATTAACTATTTGAAAATTACCGTTATAAGATTACACAAATACTATTCCCAGTCGAAAATTCATAAAAATATTTTTATTTCTTTAAGTCCAAATTATTTTTATTTTTTAAGGGTATTAGCAATAAGGAGTTTAAAATGCTTGACCTCTCTTAAAAGCCCATGAAATTCATAATATATATAGTAAGAATATGTGGTTTATATTTGAAGAATATCAGATAACCATTTTATTAGATTAAAATAATTCCAACGTATGTAAGTATTTATAATTATCACGTGTGTTTTAAGCTTTTTATATACACCGAAGAGCCATTACATTATGACCACCCTGCTAATAACATGTAGGATCACCTTCAGCCCTCAAAACTGCTAGCACCCGCCGTAGCATTGATTCCACAAGGTGCTAATAGGTACTCTGAGGAATCTGGTACCAAGCGCTCAGCAACTGGTCCTGTAATTCCCTCACATTGCGAGGGGGTAGCGTGGCAGCACGAATTTGGTTTTCCAAGTAGGACCACAAATGCTCTATTGGATTAAGGTCAGGTGAATTTGGGGGCCAAGACATGACTTGAAAGTCACCGGAATGTTCCTCGAACCAATCCATGACGATTCGACCCTTATGACATGGTTGGTAACTACCATCCCCCGCAGGAAGAACTCTTGCTATGAATGGATGAACCTGGTCTGCAACTATGTTCAAGTAGCTCACAGACGTCAGAGATTGTTCTATGAAGATTATGGGTCCTATTGTGCCCCATGAAAGCATTGTTCCTGGGCGAGCCCATTGTTATAGATAGGGGGTGGTCATAATGTAATGGCTCTTCGGTGTATATAAAATGCAATACAATTTAAATGCCAAAAAAAAAGGGTTCATTAACTTTTCTTTACACTTTAAAGTCAGAATGTTTCATAAAAATCATTATTTATTCAATGTATTAATCACATCCGATTTCGCTAAATCCGATCTCGCTTTCTTTATAAATCTTATAAATGTACGAAGAAAATCTCATCAATTTACGTGAAACTAACTTTTGTAATCTAAATGAAAAATGACTGACAAAATGCTGAAATAGTAAACATAACTATTTCCTAAGAAATATGAAGTTTTGCCTTTTAAAAATTAGATTTTAAAAATGCGTCTTTCTTTATAATGATGCAGAAATAAAATATATAGAAAATAGTAATGAGGTTTAAATTATTTTCAGATTACATTATTCAACTTGTTTATTCCCCATTAACCAGACCATCATTATGATTGTAACTATTAACTTATAACTATTTCCGAAAGCTAAGCCAAAATTATATTAGACGCTATGAAATTCTACCAAGATACCCATTAGACTGAAGCTCGCAAATGGGATAGTTTCAATCTTCATTCTTCAAATGTATTATACAGCATCCATTTGCATAATGTAGTCATTTTCAACTCTCCTCGGGTTTAATTTATCTGCATATAACAATGGTTGCTTTCTATTGAAAATGGCTTAAAATGGCTTAAGCTTTTCATGGATTTAAACAGTACAAATTTCTGTTTTGTTACAAAATTTTTAGATTCTCTTGTGAAATAGTTTTTTTTTTTAATTTTTGCAAAACACTCAAAGTAAAAGAATATGAAGTGTGTATTTGTGCAAATAAATAATTTTACTAGTTAAATGTGCAATTAGGGGAATTTTAATAAAGTAATAAGACTAAAATTTAAGTGTTTCAACTATCAACCTTCATGGTGAAAGCAGTTGACCAAGTGATACATCGACATTACAAATTTGCACTCTTTAGAATCAATGATTCTTAAGTTTGAATATTTTATGAATCTTTAATGCTTTCAAAACAGAAATGGGTTTAGGGCAGCATTTCCTCTATGTTGTTTAAGGAAAATTTCTGCGAAGACTAGCCCGTAGCTTAGAAATTATAAGGGATAAATCTAGGATCAACGCAAAGGCCAGTGAAAATTTTTGGCAAATATTTAATTACATAGCGATGGTGAAAAATTGAACACAATTTTCTAAAAGCAGTGAATAAGTTGACAAGATGTCTTCAAATCAGTGTAATATTTGTCATAATGTCCCCTAAAAACCAAAGAGTTTCCTTGGGGAGGCGGGTATCAATTCAGATTAAAATTAAATTTTGTTTCATGTTTAAGTTTATTAAAACTGGAACTACTTTCAATATTTCTCGAGAATGTGAAAATGCTAACTTTAAAGACGACTATTTCATTTTATTTCAATTAATTTTAGAAGGAAAGGAATCAATTAAAAAAGATTTCGCAGAATTAGATCTAGAAAGGCCAAAATTCATAAGTCTTGCTGCAAGATTGTGAGTGTCAGAGTCGTTTACTTGAAAGTCGGAATGATCAAAGAAGAGTTTTCTGTGAATCGCATCATCTGATATTTACTGAAAAAAATAGGAATAAATAAGCTGTGTGCCATAGTATAACTACACATCTTGTCACGCTAGGTCGGGTAATATTGAGTTTCTGCTTGGATTGTGTAGAAAAACTTCAATTTGGTTTCCCAGCTCCTTTATAACACTGATATCACTGGCATTATTGTTACTTTCGTTACTGAAAATCCACTTAAACAAATCTCTAGTTTTCGAACTCTAAAAATATGGCCAAAACTTGAATTCAGTCCCCTAAAGGTTTTTTAACTATCTAAATTCCGAAAAAAGTTGAAAAATATTTGCTACTCTTTGAGGCTACCAAAGAGAGGATTCAAAAGGAGAAAATGCGAGATGTAAATTCAATTGGAAAAAAAATATTAAGGAAATCTCATAACTTTATTTTAACAACTTACATTTATTGCTTAAAATTTTAAAGCTGGGTCATTACTTATCTATTTAGTAATTTTTAAATACGATATAACTGAATGAAATCTGTTACGATTTTTGGTAAAGTTCGAAATATTTAATTCCATATATTTTGTATTTGCATTAATGAGAAACTCACACACGATGAAACTGTGAAATACATTTAAAAATAGAGCGCTTTAAATAATAATAAACATATGTACCACTCCTTACTCTTTATATTCAACATGAGAAACGCACTAATAGAATACAGGGCAATTCACGAAAGAATGCATCAAACATACTTAAAAATATTTATCAAAAATTTTTCAAAGCAAGTTTTCGCTTTAAATGGCATTTGAGCAAATGAAAAAAATTATAAATCATTTTATTGCATATTTTTATGTTTCACTTTTCACTTAAATAGTTTCTGTTTAGGTGATTGATTTCTTAAAAGCTTAAATCAGAATAAACATTGTCGGAAAAAATGTGCAAATAATAATATTCTATTCCTTACAATCAAAACATGAGGAAGTCACCCCGTTACAATATAGATCACATAGACAGACACATTTGATGTTTATTTGAATCTAATGTGAAATCTTTTAACACCCTATTGCAGAGTGACCTTTCATAAAAGATGTGTATTGAAGAGATTATTCAGATCTGCTTGTCGCCCAAATTATTCGAAGTCCCACTAAGACTGTATATTAAATTTCGCAGGATACACAGATCTCATTTTATGTCGACATATAATGGAGTTTTACGGGACTGCGGCTTTTGAAACTTAGCGGGATTCACAGACTGAAAGGCGTAGCTGGAGATAATGAAATAATACGGTGTCGTTGAAAGGCTTGGGAATTCCATCCCAAATTATATTACGTCGTATCTGAGAAAGAATATTGCGAAATCTTTCGCATATAATAGAGATTCATAGCCAGATTAATTTTTATTAGGTTCAGAGCAAACCTTAAGATAA